GTAGATACTTCACGGGGCTGATTTTTCCATCGCTCCCCATCTCCCATCCTTCACCCAATGCCAAGGGTGGGCGGCGGGGGGAGAGGCTGTTTTTCTGGGCCTTCAGGGAAATTTGTCTCTGGGGGAGGCAACACCCCGTACCCCACAGCGGGTACCCCCAGACTGAGCTTCACCCTGTTACAACCATCCCGCGTTCACATCATCTGACCGACACGAAGGTTTCAATGCTAAGGATGTATTAGCCGATAGGTCTGTGTTGACGGAGACCCCCATCTCTTGTCTCTGCCTCCACCCCGGGTATGGAGCAAGCTGAGGTGCAGTGAGTTTGTGGGGCCTCAGGAGGGGCTGGGGAAGTTGGAGTGAAAGACCCACGGGAGCCATCAGGGCTACTCTCCTTTACCAGGGGCCTGATAGTGCTGAACAGCAACACCAGCTACTACCTGAAACCCCTGGGGACCCCCGAGCCGGGCCACCACCTCATCCACCGAGCAGAACACTTGACCATCGCGGATGGGACCTGCGGCCACGGCGATGGTTTGGGGAGCACCATCGCTGACATCGTTTCGCGCTTCCAGCCGGTGCACCACCAGGTAAATCCATCTCGGGGTCCTTTGGTAGCGGAGAGGCAGAGGGCTGGGAGCAGGGCTGTCTGTACCCCTGCTAAATGCCTGCAGCTCGTGGCGGGGGGCCCATCACCCAGGTATCTGGGCAGGGTTGTGCTGGCGGATGGGAGGTGAGGGGTCTGTGTGGGCAGCTTACCTGGTTTGAGTTTGGGCAGGAGACCTCAAAGGGAGGACGTGTGGGTGGAGTTCCAGTGCTGCAGTGTACAGTGTGGGACATGATGTGAGGTGCCATTGGGAACTGCGCTGTAGCTGCTCACACTTTCCCTGTCGCCTCGTGCCTCAGTTTCCCCTCTCAGCTGTCCTTCCTGAGCAGCTCTGCGGTGTCTGGGAAGCCTGAGATGCCCAGAGCCATGGATTGCCCGCTCCTTCACTCCTCTGAGCCTTGCTGGCTGTCTTGCAGGAGAAGAGAGATGCCTGGAGAACCATGAAGTACATGGAGCTCTTCATTGTTGCCGATCACACGCTGGTGAGCACTGGCGGGGACAGAATCCTGGTCCCCTACCGAAAAACCGGGCCCCCTCTCTGTTTCCCTCCCTGCTTTTCCTCCGGTGACCCTTCTCCATCCCCGTCTCTCTGCAGTACAGGAACCAGAACCTCAACCTGGGTCACACCAAGCAACGCATCGTGGAGATTGCAAACTACGTGGACAAGGTAACGGCCAGTGAGAGGGACCTGCTGGTCCCTTGTCGCCGCCTCCATCGTTCCCAGTGCATGTGGAAGCACCTCAGCTTGGGGCCAGGGACTGTCCCCATGTCACTAGGGCTAGGATTTTAGATGGCAGATGTGAGCATGAGGTGGAAAATGCTTTGCCATCCATCAGCTGGGTTGCTGGCTCTTACCCTGCTGTGGCGTTGGAGATCAATGCCAGCATCCTTGACACAAGGAGGGACACGTTTAGGCATTGTCAGTTGACGGATGGCATCGTACCACCCTGACCGGCTCCTGTGCCCACCTCTGTGCCTGTAGAGCTCATCCTTGCAGGTGGATTTGGGACAAATGTGTCCTGGAGTCACCCAGCTGGAAGGAAAGCCCGGAGAACCCCCCGCTGAAATGCCGTGGCAGGGATGGAGGATGCACAGCGAGTGCCAGTCTCCGTCCCCTCCAACCCTGTCCCCTCCCTGCAGTTTTACAGGTCACTGAATATCAAGGTGGCCCTGATCGGCCTGGAGGTGTGGACGGAGCGGGACCAGTGCTCCGTGACCAGCGATGCCAACGCCACGCTCTGGTCCTTCCTGCAGTGGAAAAAGACGCTGAGGTCACGCAAGAAACACGACAATGCCCAGCTGCTGACGTGAGCATCCCTGTGGACCTGGGGACCTTGGGGCAGGGGGTTCCCCACTCGGACCGGGGTCTCCAAGCCAGCCCTGGGGTGCTGACTGTCCTTTGTTCTCCTTTCCGAGCAGAGGGAAGACGTTCAGGGGGACAACCATCGGCATGGCCCCGCTGGAAGGGATGTGCAGCTCCGATAACTCCGGAGGTGTCAGCGTGGTAAGAGGGGCATGGGGGTCCCTGCTGCTCCTCCCAGGCTGGAGGACTTCCTCACCACCCCATCTGGCTGGGGTTCTTCATGGGTTTGGAGGATCAGCCATCTGGAGTTGGTCCTGGGATGCAGCCTGGGAGTGAACGATGATGCTGGTAGCCCCTTACCCCTCTCAGATGTTGGCCAAGTACTAAGGAGGATGAGAAGGGGCTGGTTTAGAGGTGTCCCGCCCCACGTACACCCCCAGCTTGCAGCTAGCAGCAGCGTTGGGACCTCCTGTGTTGTTTCTGCCCCTCATATTGAACAGCCCCTGCTTGTTCCCTGCTTGCGCTCTCTGGTTTTGTAGGGTTATCTCCACGCCAGATAACTCTTGTCCTCCTCCTGGTGGGGTGATGGTGGCCCTGGTGGGCTGTGGTCCCTAGGCAGGGCGGTGGGGTAGGGCATTGAGGTTTCTGGGTTTTGGGATGCACCTTCCAAGGCCCCAGGTTTTCAGCAGTTGGCTCCAGCACAAGAGCTTCCCAACAGTCCCATGTGGGACTTTCAGGAGATCAAACCCTACTTCTGCCATGAATCCTCCTCCATCCCTCTCTCTCTGTCCCTCCCATGGGATCCAGTTGCAATCCCAGGGATGTTGTGGTCCCTCCATCACCCCAACCCCGTTCCCCGCTGCGGGATCACCCCTCTCCATCGCTCCTGGCTGCTGTGCTGACACATCCCCCATCCCTACGCAGGACCACTCGGAGCAGCCCATCGGAGCAGCCGCCACCATGGCCCACGAAATCGGCCACAATTTCGGCATGAGCCACGACAGCTCGGGCTGCTGCGTGGAGGCTACCCCGGAGCAAGGTGGCTGTGTCATGGCAGCAGCCACCGGGTAAGTGGCGATGGGGACAGGATGTGGCCCCTAAACCCCCCCCCAGCAGGTTGTGGATGCTGTTTGCAGCTGGGTGGGCTGGGGATTGGGGAGGGGGTCCTGTCCTGCAAGGCACTGTTGTGGGTGCAGTGCCCCATTGCAAAGGGGGACCCAGCTGGTCACCTCCGTCCCCGTTTGCCCTGTACATCCCAATTCCCTGGGGCGAGCCCATCCCGGGGCCCAGGAGCAGGCAGGGCTGGTGGTCTCTGAGGGGTAGCAGAGGGGTAGGAACCCCATCCCAAAAGAACTAGGGATGGAAGCAAAGGGATGTTCTCTGGTAGGTGCGCTACAGGAATCCAAGGAATTTCCCTGTGCTAACCCACACCTCAGCACAGTGAAATTATTCTTTATTGTAAGACTGGTGCTCAGTTCTCGGTCATGCTGATGAGGACTCATGGCATCACGGGGCTGCGGTGGGGTGAGCTCACATCCCTCACCCCAACCCCTCTAGATCTGGATGCGGGCTGTTCCGGAGTGGCAGTCGTTAGCTTTCATGCTCTCTGGCATCCCACCAGGGCTTGTTTCCCTGTGCTTTTAGCCTTTGATTTGGCCCAGAGCTGTAAGAAATTCAGCCAGTTTGTGCCCCTTTCCCTTCCAAAATCCTTCTCCTGTTGGGTTTTCCAGCTCCTGGCAATACTGTCATCCTCGATTTCCCTGCACTGCAGAAAAGCAGCTGTTTATTCCCCATTATTTGAACCCACCTGCTCTTCCAATTCATAAATAACAGCCAAAAACCACGGTGCGGTTTCAGGATGTCCCCGGGCTGTTTTCCCGTGGCTCCCAGGGCTGTCAGACCGTGGTGCTGACCCCACGCCTAGGTGGATGGTGGTGGGGAAAAGCACCGACTTTCCAGGATGAGACAGTTGTGCGCTTGTTTGTTTAATGATCCTACTGATTAATTATCCAACCCCCACCCACCGGAGCGGCATGAACGGGTACAAAGCAGCTGTGCCCCTGCTCACTCCAGCAGGCAAAGCTGTCCGAGCTGACCTCTCCCCGTGACATTTCTTCCTTCTTAGTTTTGCTGAAATATTATTTTTTTTCCCCACGTGGGCAGGAAACACATTTTTGACTGCCTTCGACCTGGCCCTATTTGCGCGTTCATGTACCAACTTATCGGGTGTATTTACTTGCTCACCCTTCCATAACTTGCAAAAAAAAAATCCCTACAGCTCAAGGGATTTCCCTCAGACTTCCAAAATACTTTTAGAAAAAACCCTCTGTGTCGTCTTGGAAATGGGATGTCCTAATATGATGTAAAACCGTTTTTCAACGATGGAAGGAAATGAAAGCGGCAGTGAAGCGGAGAGTGGTGCACGGCTTTTACTGTCTGCTTCCTCCTTTTTACTACATCACACCAACAAACCTGCAAACTGGTGCAAAATTGCAGAAGAACCGTGCTCAGAGCTTCTCTAGAAAATCACCACTTCTCTCCAGCTCCTTACGGGGAAGGCTAGCTGGGCTGTTAGAGAAATGGCCTTATACGTTGTAGGCTCTGAATTTTTGTTGTTGTTGTTGTTCAGATCTTGTGAATTATTTGTTTTTTTGGAGGGTCTGTGTTTCTGTTCCATATTTCTTTAATTTTTTAAGTTATTTTTGTCCATCTCAGTCTCGGAGGTATTTAAATAGCCCCAAACGGGTATTTCCCATCAGCGGTTCCGTGATACCAGGCACCTGGTGAGCAGACATCCTGAGCAGAGAGTCACTGCGGACGCGGAGACTCGCCCTGTGGTTAGGACAGGGGAGGTCTGTGGTGTCCCAGGTGCAGAAAACTGAGGCACGGTGGTGACATCTACGCCAACATCAAGCTAACAGAGCCTACAGGCATGGGTGCTCCTTGGGCTTTTGAATTTCAGACCATGGGGGTCTTCAATCTCCAAGAGGTTTCTTGCTGGAGAGTTGAAGCTCTGGAGGTGGCTTATAGGAGGTCTGCTTGTCCACCCCATCCCATCCTGGAGAATATTTGGGCTCAGTGTGGTGTCCCTCGGTTGGTAGTTTGGTGCTCAGCCATGGGAGATGTTAGCGGTCTTGATGCATCTGGCTGATGGTGGCTTCTGCACTTGGAAGGGTTTGTGCTAGTTTGCCCGTGTCCTTATTTCCCAGCTCTGACTGTGGTTTTCCACCTTCTCCTGGTCCCGATCGCCCCGGTTCCCATCCCTCCCCATCTGTCCCCTGCGCAGACACCCCTTCCCTCGCGTCTTCAGCTCCTGCAGCAAGAGGCAGCTGGAGAATTACTTCCAGAAGGGAGGTGGCATGTGTCTCTTCAACCTGCCCGACACCAAGGACCTGGTGGTGGGACGGAAATGTGGCAACGGCTTTCTGGAGGAAGGAGAAGATTGTGACTGCGGGGAGGTGGAGGTACGGTGCTTGGTGCTGCATCCCTTTCCCTCAGAGGCTTTTGCAGCTCAGCTCAGCTGCTGGGTAGCAGGATGTGGCCCATGTGGAGAGGGGTATTTCCAAGGGAAAGGGGTTTGCTGTTCACCACAGGGACTCCATCCCAAGGGTTCTTCCTAGTCCCACCTTCCTAAATCTGTTTAACCTGGGCCTGGCTTTCTTCTTAACTTCACCCTAGAGTGCTCAGGTCTTCCTCATCCCTCCCCGTGCCTCAGTTTCCCCATTGGCAAAATGAGGAGAGCAGTGCTGTGATGGCAGGACAAGGGGCTGAGGACAGCAACGAGGAAGGCATGGACTCACTGACCATGGTGATTTCTTCTTCTTCTCCCCAC